GGAGCAATTCGAGGAATTAGGGGTTGTGTTTAGGGTTTAAAAAATTTTGCCGCTTGCATGGCCAACAATTTCGAAGTTTGGGGTTGTGGGTCAGTCTGGGTCCCTTTGTGTGATCCCGACAAGAGGCCTGTTTGCTTTGCAGAGTTTGGACGCAGGGGGACGGGGCGAAATTTGACACATGGCCATCTGACGAAGCAGTCTCTGCAGCATGAGGATTGTGCATCGCAAAGACTATATTGGAGGCTTCTACTGAAATACTGCTTGCGATAAGACTAATTTGGTAACCGCAACCTCGATACCACGGAGCGTTGAAGAGCCATGTGATAGCCATAGGGCCCTTGTTTCCTCAAGGTTTGGGTAACCCATATCCCCCCCATGCATTAACACTTGGCATTGCGATCCCTCCACGTCTTCCAGCTGGGAGGCGTACCCCTGTGTAAGGTTCATATACAACTCTGAAGGTATGTCTAGTCTGCCCAAGCCTTGTACAAGGGTACCCACCTGATAGATAACCACTTGGAGCTCTCCTTGGAGCACATGATATTGGGGACGCTTGGTTGAAAACACTGGACTCCACTGGACAAACCATACCATTCCCTTGATTGAATCCTCCTCGTTCAAACAGGGTTTAGTCACCCCCAGATCTTCACAACTACCCTAGAGTGTCTAAACCCCAGAGACATTCAGCCTTCGAAAATTCAACCCAAAACCGTGAAAATCCTGATGGCTTCTAAGCCCATACCTCTCTAAACTCCGTCCCCTACGCACATCCGAGCCTCGTGCACAGCAGCATAAGTCAACTTGTGCCCGCCAAAATGCCATCGGCTCTAAAATGATGGGGTCCGCCCAAAAGCAATGGTCTCGCCGAGCCAGCGCCTGCCGAAAACGGCAAAAAAAGTAATTAGAGGAATTGGCTTGGGATGGTCAAGGAAGCTCAACAAGGCGGATTGGGTTTAGGGTGTACAAGTCTTGCCTCTCACATGGCCAAAAATTTTAACGTTTTGGATGTTAGGCTATTCTGGTTCTTTTTGGGTGATCCCGACACGAGGCTTGTTTTTATTTATTTGCAGAGTTTGGACACAAGGCGCAATTTTTGACAAATGCCCGTCTGTCTCTGCCGCGTGAGGACTGTGCAACGCAGGGACTGTATTGCAGGCTGCTACTGAAACGCTGCTTACAGTAAGAGGGTTTTGGCAACCGCAACCCGGATACTTAGGAGCCAGGAAGAGCCATATAATAGCCATAAGGTCCCTGTTTCCTCAAGGTTTGGGTAGCTACGATCCCCCATGAATTAACACTTGGCATTCCCCACTGCAATCCCTCCCAAGAGTAAGCAAACAGGGGCGTCAGATTTCAGAACAGCAGATGCGCCATGCGAGTTCCACATGGGCGGTGAAATTCCAGTCTTCAAACCGCGCACGCAAAAAAAACGCAGAGCCTGGAACCCTAAGCTCTAAAGTTCCTAAAGAGTACCAAGCTGAAGAGTACACTGAGGACACCCAATGCCTGAACTTTATCTCGACGTCAAACGTAGCAAATATAGTGGCCGAACATTCATTTAAGAAAATGCCAAAAAATATCCATGTATATATATATATGTTACATACTTTTGGGTTCAGGTAAAATCCAAATCCTGTTGGGTCTCCCCTAGATCTTCATAGACCCTAGACGGTCCAGAACCCAGAGGCATTCAGCCTCGGAGGCTTTCAACCCGAAAACCTGATGGTTTTCAACCCCAAATCCCTATAAATCCAAACCCGAAACCTGGCTCTTGTCTGAACCCGTCCTCTACGGCAGCAGCACAAGTCTTGCAACTCTTGGAGACATCGTTCGAAGAAAGCGTTCATTCTGTTGTTCTATAATATCCACAGCTACATCTGGATTCAGATACGAGAAATATGCCTCAAAATCAAAAAGGTTATGCTATGGAAAAGTAGAACGAAGCATAAGCCCTGGGGTCTGCCAAAAAATAATCGTTTGAATGTTTCGCCAGCCGTGAGCCATCTGTGGCTGTGGAAAGGTCCAAGTATGCAACCTAAACATGTGAGGTATAGTCTAAACTCCTTTAAGGGGGTTTATATAGGGGGTTATATAGGGGACTACTATAGGGTTCATTAAGGGGGATACTGAGAGTTTAGACTATAGTTCATGTAGCTGCAGCGAGCACAAACTTTTGACAGACCACGCACAGGCTACACTACACTGCCAGGAATACCCCAGTGTAAGTGCCTGTCGTCCATAGTAATCAAACCGCCCCGGAAAAATGAACGCTCAATCCGGAAACCCAAAATCCTAAACGACTACTTTTAACACAGGGTGGACTGTTTACTTTCAGAGCGAGCCACGTAACTACCCTAATTAGTAATAAATCGGGTTGGTGTTCTGAGTTCTGAAAGTCGGGGATCTCAATGGCTCAACAGGGACTGTGGATCTACTCGAAATCCTATGTTTGCAATCTGGCCTGTCTCAGAAATCAAAAGCAACTCAATTTAAATTATGATAAGGATTCCCGCTATCTATTCGAATTTTACCAAACTGAGTGACCCAAGAATGACGCTTCCAAAGAAACCTGTATCGAGACTCATCTTGGGACACTGTGCCCGGTATGATGCCAGGTGTTGTTTGATGCACAGTAATTTCGCTTTATCCCTAATACCAGCAATGCAGCACATGATGATTTTCCTCGAACCCACCAGCAAGATGACCCCCACACGTTAACACAGCGCGACACTGTGGTCGCGAGCGAGGTTGATGAATTCGTGCAAAAATGCCGCTTTTCGGCATCGCTGCATGTGGCAGATAACGCTACAGCATGCTGACCGAAGAACACACCCCAATTATCAAGTCGTGTGCAGAGCCTCATTGCCCACTTCGGCATTGCAAACATATATGCCAAGCATAGCAGTAGGCTCCGGGTCCCGAGTGGTTGTCATGGCATACCCGACATAACTTATGCTACGAGTCTAGCTCAAAACCTCAGACCCTGTGTCCCAACCTCGCACTCTGACCCTGTAAGCATCACTTACTTGGAGGGTCACGTGCCCCTAGGCCTTGCCTTCCAGGACAGCCAACTTGGCTCGCAGTTCTCCAAGCTCCCTGCAAACAGTGTGGTTTTCTCGTTCCCCCAAAGCGCTTCAACAAAGTTTCGGCGTCCTACCCCGCTTGGCCCTGTGGTGAGTGGGATACGGCTTGGCTTTGGATTTTCTTTCCGGCGCAGCCTTGGGAGGTAAATCATCATGAACTCTCTGACTGTGAGAGGGCCTCTAGCATGAAGCAATCAATATCAATGCCACAATAGGGCAAGTACGATGATCATTCTTATGGTGGCCATCTGCTATCAGCATCAGCGTTTCACCAAAGTATCCCCATTCTTGCTCCTGCCACTATCAAGCATTCCCAAACTAAGAGGTAAAGAGCTATGCAAGCAGCTCCGGCCTCTCTGCTGCTTCCCGGCGCTCACGCTCCAACATGAGCTCTAGATCCAGCACCGTTGAGCGCACCGCCTTCCAGCATTATATTGTACCGTAATATGATAATATAACATACGATATTATAGTATAACATACTATTTTATGGTATAATATGCTTCATTTTAGGTGAAGATTTTGGCAAGGTTCCGCGGCATCACTGGGGACGAGCTTCCTCATGCACATACGGGGATTCCCAAGGCGCATGCTTCCAAAGCATTGAGTCCGAGAGACGCTCAGGGCCAAAAATGCATCTCTTGAAAACTGCAAAGAGGTCCCAGTGACCAGTCTTCAATCTTCGATTTTGACAGAAGATTCAAATGAGACATTGGATTGCAGAGTGGGATAGGTTTTTATGAAGAAGAATGCAAACTGATGCCGAAGACAGATCACACGAAAGCTTCCTCCTTGCTTTGTCAACGTACTATCCCTGGCAATGCTCTCAGGGTCACCGTCCCAAGGACACTTAGGAATTTGGTCTACAGGCTCCTGCTAGGCTTGAGCGTTTAAACTTGAGGGTTCCGCTTACGATCATGTCATGTTGAAGCATGATTCCTCGCCAAGTTGGCCATAGTCTGAACTCCTAGATTTTCACTTAATAACCCCCATAATACTCCCCTATACAGTCCACTCTATAACCCCCTTGAAGGAGTTTAGACTCTACCTCATGAATTGAAGCATGATTCCTTGCCAAGTGGATTTGGGATGAAGGAAGATGATGGAAGCCTACGGCACCCTCAACTTCAATGGAGCTGACCGTCAGAAGTGAGGCGACTCTACACCCTAAACCCTGGAAAAATCTCAAAAGGCCGGCAAGTCGATCGCTCGCACTGAGGAAAAAAAACACAGGCTTTCCGGCCTTCTACGTATAACAATTGAGCATCTAGATTTGGATCGATTCTAACCCCTCCCCCTCATGATGAACGCCCCAACGTCCTCACAGTGAAATCTTGCACACTGGTACTCAAGTGGGAATGTTGTTATGGGTGGGTATTACCGGGAGTGGATTAAGCATGGCATGGGCTTCTGCAGCCATTCTCACAACCCTATCCTTGCTATGATTATTGCTATCATTTCCACTACTCTTTCCCCTTTCTTCTTACTACTATGTGCACTGTTAATATTACGACTAGTAGTACTGTTACTATTACTAGTATTACCATTGACTCTGCGGCCTGTGAGCCACACGATGATGTCTTGCAACTCCTGGGTCGAAGCTTCCCATGAATCTGGGCTGCTGCTAAGGAACTTAGTTTGAATTACAAGAATTTGGGAACCATGTTGATTACCATATCTCCTCATTATGGTAACTTAAGTCAAATTCCTTAACAGCAACCCAATAAGTTAAGTACGTAGGCTTGTTAGAGGTTTCGAAAGACCTCTCCCCAAGACTGGCTTGGAATGCACATGGAGGATGGAGGTCTGCAGCACTGCGCTCTTAGGATAGGGTGTAGGGTATAGGGTGTAGGGTATAAGGTTCAGGGTCCAGGGACCAGCACCCCCATTTGCATGCACACTGTGCGGCCACGAGGCAGGCAGGAGATGGAGGCGGAGCCACGAACAGACTGCCGGCTTGGGGCCGCCGAGACGCGGCTGCTGCGATGCACCAGGGAAGGCGCTGAAGCACATTGGCTCAAGCAGGCCGCCTCTTTGGATTGTGCAACATACAGATACCTCAACCAATAGGAAACAGAGAAGCAATTCAAAGATCGCTACACAACGCAAGCCCACACCTCTTCATGGGAATGCCTGGAAGAGGCAGTGCTGCCAACACCCGGTGAGAGGCCAGGTTGGTGTGCGGATCTCGCAGGCTTTCTTGGATCTGGGAGCTCCAGCACGGGCAGCGCCATGGGTGGCTTTTCAGCAGGCTCATGATTTCGAGCCCGGCTGCTGCTTCGTACCGTGGTATGGCATCCAGCTCCTCTTGCAGCATCCAAGCTGTACACACTTTCCACATCAAACTGAGGCTCATAAGGCTAAGCATGCCCTGCAATTCAGGCACAACGCTATAGGCTCATGCTTGCACGTAAACACACACGCTGCATGTCCCTGACCCACAGGCCCGTGACGAGCAACGTCACTTGGACAGACACACCTGCAGTTCTTGAAAAGCACTTTGCAAGCATTGATTTGGGATCAGCTGAGTTTCAAACAATATGAGCACAGCGACCTCTTTTGGTAGCAGAAACCAGCCGAAATGCCCATAAAGACCGAAGTACAATACAGATTCTGATTCTAAAGCCCGCAATCCCATGATCTTTGATCATGAGCCTGTCCCAATTTCTGCCAACCCTGAAAGGCCAAGAGTCTCTAGAATCTTTCGTCCTCGTCCCACTTTGTAGGCAGCGGCCGGGCCGCCCACTTCGCCAGAACATGGCTTTCGCAGCGGATAAGACAAGGATAACCTGACACGCTCAACAAAAGTTGCCACATTTGTTGAATGAAGCCTCGTGTTTGTTCAAACCTGCAGAGCTCCAACGCCAGGACCAGAGTGAACCGAGCAAGTCCAAACGTGGTTGGTTCTTCTTCCGAATTTCGACACCACTCCAGTCCAGAACTGCATCCTGAATGTCAAATGGACCCACCCATTGTCCACCAGCTCAATTTTACAACCCTCGCTTCAAAAAGCTCGGCACACTTGCTTCACAAAAGATCCCAAGCTAGCGAGGCACAATTTGTCGGCCGCCCCCAATCCTATGGCACGTAACATGTCCATACATCAAAACGTGTCCAGGAATATGCGATCAAACTGTCCGAAAGCTGGAAGCTACAAACATGTTTTCTTGGTACTGATGTACTGGGACAAGCTTAACGGCTTCCTGAACTCCAACCATCAAAGAAATGAAACTTCAGCTTGAAAGCATGTTTCGGCCAACGTCATTTGGCCGCCAGCACAGCGCGCCGGCAACTGCACATCATCTGCGCGGCATGCACTGGACCGGTCAGAGTTGTCTGCATGAACGAATAGGAAGCAATTGGCAGAAGCAACAGGTACGAGCTTTGGACTTGCCAAAACCCAAGAACAACCCGAAAGGGATTGAAGCATGATGTGCTGGCTAGGATGGCTGGAAGGGGCACATGGAACAAAACGGCTGAGAACTTGACATGCTCCCAAGCATGGCAACATTAGCCTCCTGACCAAACACAGAGCAGGTCAATGTAATCCGATATCCATCAGCATGTGTTATGCCTCAAGCAAGCTCTTGCTTTCCGGACGAACTCCGTCCCCTTACCAAAACCATGCAAAAGCCGCCAAACGCAGACGCCCTCAATAATGAAACACTAGGGTGCATGATATATACAAGACGGGACAATGAAGCAACAAATCAGGATACAACGAGGTTGATTGTTTGGGGTATGTCTCCACAGGATCAAGCTACCGCTCGATCCTACACAACCCCTAGTACATCATAGGGCTACTTACAAGGATGCACAGGGATGGGTTAGAGGGATTATGGTTTGTTGTAGACTTTCGCTAAATTCAAGGTCCTTTTTGGGATCTGTATTCAGAGGTCAGAAAACTTAAGTTATTTGGAGTGTATAATATGCCCTTAATTTTGATGCATAGCGAAATTAGTCTATGTTTTGCTGTTAAACTGTTTTCGTGGTGCGACGATTCCACTTCTGTACATGGGGGCTGTTTTGGCAATTTGGGCCCATTAGAGGCTCTTTTGAAAACTGCTGGCACACTTTCTCATGCAGCGTCCATGTTTCTAAGGAACACAAAAAAGGTTGCACTTTGGAAAAGATCCATACCGGCACCCTTAAACTTTGCCTACATACAAACGTACCTGCCGAATCAAGGTGCCCCTGCTTTTTGTCCTCGCAGTTGCAGCGATATGGTTTCATCACCTAAGTCCAGCGCCAGCCCAAGAAGGTGGGGGGAGGACGTACCCAGACCCTCAATCGGGTCTGAAAATTAGATCTGTTTTGAAACCCATAGTAAGATCCTCTTGGGGATACAGACTAAACTTCATTGGTGTGGCCTTCCTTCTGCACCCTTATGCCCCCAAATCCTAAACCATAAACCCAAGCCCCCTCCCTACATAACACCTACATCCCCAAATCCTAAAGCAGCTAAAGCCCTGTATAAACCTGTATTTAACCCAGCTTCCCCACCCATGAGCCAAGCTAGGCGCTTCAGCCACCAAGGTCCTTGATGCCTTGCTCCAAGAACCACTGCTCCCAAGTCTTCTTGTACTTTTTCCTGAGATTGGCTTAAAGTTTACAGTGTTTATAAGGTTTTCTTACAGGGTTTATAGGTCCCTGAGATGGGCTCAAGGTTTACAGTTGAGGGTTTGAAGGGCTAAAAGTCTATGGCCTAGGGTTCCGTTCTCGGGTTGAGGGTTTGGGCTTCACGGGCCCCTCATACAGTCTAAGCACGAATCATCCGTGTTACCAAGACCCCGGACACCCACAGGTTTTGACTCACTCCATATACCCATGATGAGAGGGATATTATCCCCCAATAATGGAGAATCAACTGGAAAAGAAAATGGAAAATGAAATGGAAACTGGGATTACATAGGGGATTATAGGGGCTATAGTCTAAACTAAGACCCTGGACACCCACAGGGTTTGACTCACTCCATGATGAACAGTGGAACCTGCTTCCACAGGAGTGTCCGCTTGGAGTCAGGACTAAAGATTGTAAGTTTCCCAAATTAAGGGTACGCCTAGATGGGATATAGGGGGTATATAGGGTGCATAGGGTGTAGGGTTTAGGGTGGATGTTGCAATACTTTCCGGACTTTCCGCTGCTCGACACAGAGCGGTAACTAAGTAATTTCAGTTGCTTCTGGAGCAAAACCCTAAACCCTAGACCTGGCAGAAAAATGGCTGCCATGCAGTGCGCCTTCTGAGCTCAGATAAGCTCAGGCGGCCCAAACGGTGGGATGAAGGTAAATACCCATCAAGTAGAAATAACATGGGGTACATGGGGAGTTGATTATTATTCATAATCTCGGGGAATCCGCCGACCCCGCTCTGGGGGTCGAACGCCGGGGGAAGCCCTTTCTATGGTGGCTTCTACGTGGCTACCTCCAACTGCTTTCTACCTTTTACTCCATCTTGAATCCGGTTGTTACTTGGTGGCGGTCGCGTGCATCGCGTGCATTGCTGCCCATACGTGGTTTTGCGGCTCAAGTCGCCGC